TTATAGAGTATAAAAACCTGGTTGCAACATACACGTTTTATACAAAGTAAAACTAAATGTTCATTGATCAAATGTCAATGAAATTATAATTTTTTTTTTTTAATTATTTATTACCGATAGGTATACCTTACCTATCTATTTAAACAATAAATCATACGAAAATATTCGATACTCTACAAAAAAATAAAATACATTTACTTAAATACTTTACAACTTCGAATAACCCAATAATAAATAATAATTATTATTATTAAATTATTAAATATTTCCCTATGTGTGTGTTAGTTGTCATGTCTTTTCAATTTTTATTCTATGGGAAACAAAGCCCGAAACCTAACAAGTATTTTATCTCTTTCTAACGATATTGACTCCCGCAGCGGGTGTGTGCCGTGTGGGAGACACAGTCTATTTCTTTATAGGTCTTTAGTTTTTAGCATAGATAAGTATATAAAATAGATAGGCAACTCCTATATAACATTTTTGAACCGCGCCCAGCGCTCTAGATAGGCGGTGTTAGTGAAACGAACTAAAACAGGTTTTTAGACTGTAATCTGGATACTTACTTTTTTTTGGGTGGACAAAATCACGCATCGAATTCGCGATACCGATTCAAATTTGAATGACCGTCTGGTGTGTTTAGTTTTTACTTAGTTATGAATTTTACTTGAGATCGGATGTTGCGCTTTTTCAATTTTGAATTTTGACCTTTGGTAAATTTTATTTTTTAATTCGAAGTTTACAATTTTGTTAACGTTCCTCATAAGATATATAGTAGGAGAATGATATTGATAAGTATTAAATCGATCTCAAGTAAATGTTACGACAAATTCATACGAGTTCTCCGATGTTATCGGATTACTTAAACGGCCAGTACGATTAACAAACATGCATCATTAATACTGAACATCTAATATTCCGCGTGGAGGCTTCCTTTTTCCTCTTCAATAAGGTCTCTTAAAAAAAAGTAACTAGGTGACCAACCAAATGTGATCATAAAAAGTGACATTTTACATTCGTTTTAAAACATTATCTTTATTAATCGGTCTTTTAGCCGAATAAAAATGTTAGGTATTGAAATAATTCGACTGTCATGTTGCAAGCGACATGCTACGACATGCTCTCTCGTTCTGTTTTTATTACCCGAGTAAGTGTCCTGTTACTTCAAGATTAATATCAATCGATCCGCAGTGATCCACCTATGCCAGATCTGACGTCTTTTCGAAGCTCCAGACTGTATCCAACCCATCAGTGACAAATATTTGGTAATTTTAATTATATTACTCTCATGCCGACTAATCGCAGCAGGTAGTTATTTGTATTGCTCGGACTCTCCGGCCATCCGGCGGTCGTTTCCATATCTTATCTTATTTAATAATGACCGGGCCTGTTGTTAGACCGTCTACCGGTAATACACTACCAATACGAAACCTAATAAAAATAAATAAAATTCGTCTAATAAGTCGAATCGCATACAGAGAGCTTCAAATATACCTCATAATAACACATCAAATGAAGTTTTTATGGAAGATGAAATTCTTGATTTCGAATTTCAAGAAGTCAAAAGACACGTCCATCCAAACTTTAATTTATCATCAAGTAGGTACAAGTACAATACTTTTTCGTTATAGTTATGCAATTTGATGTTCGTAATAGTCCGAATAAGATTTCAGCGGATAAAAAATTGGAAAAGTTGCCTGGAAAACTTTAGTGAAAGTTTATTCCAATAGATGGCGATATATGCGCAAGTATCACAGCTGACACGGACAGCTGTGATACTTGACACGGACATATTTAGTAGGCAGCTAGTAAATAAATGCATTGTAGATAAATTAATATAAGCAATCACCATGGTAAATACGTTGGATTTACACTATTTATTGTCCTTCATTTCAATAATACAGGGGATACGGATTCTGTTTCCATTGCATCATTACCCAACAAGTAACAAAATAAAGCATATAAAGCACAATGGTGTTTTTTTGTCAGACACCGTCCAGCCGTCCAAAAACAGTGCGCTCTGACTGTGATACGCGGTACTATTGTTATAACTCGGTTTATGTAAATATGTATAAGACATAAGTCAAACACACAAATAGTGTAATATAAAAGCTGTACAATTGATGCTACATATTTTGATTCCACAATCAGTGGCGCCGAAGTCTATAATTATATGTATGTCAAGTCACCTACCCACTCACCTTTCCATCTACAGAAAATTTACATTTTCGACTAAATATAAACAATCTATTCAACAAAGTCCAAATTCATTGAGTTAAGTATGTGTCACTGTCACACTCTAATATTAAACCAAATTTAAATTACAAAAAAAATTATATTTAAAAATATTATCTGATAAATTTATGAGGGACTTTGTTGAATAGGGCCCACGCTTTTCTCTTTTGTCAAAAATTAAACATGTTTAACATTATTTAAAATTGTAGTTAATTTTCTAAGTTATTGACATTTTAAATTAAATGTGCTACAATTTATCGGTAAATTGTTCTTGTAATAAAATTATTTTTTACTATTTTTTATAAAAGCATGTTTTTAAAAAAAATTAAAAATTTAATTTAGCAACTTTACAAAATGGTAGATGATGATTTCAATTACTCTATAAGCCTAATCTTTTTTTTCTGTACACACAATCCGATTCAATATTGGTATTAGACATGGTGTCTTTTGTTTAAAACTAAAAATCTGTACCGCTTTCTGTTACGTTATCACTTATCGCCTTCCGTGGGCAAATGACAAATATTACAGCGCGCCGCGCAGCGACACAGCAAAACATCAAACTAAAGGAAACTCCAAAATTCAAATTTAAAAATAACCAGTTCTGACTATCAACATAATAGATAATATAATTTTATAGTATATCATTAACTGACCATGACAGATAACAGTAAACAGTATAACACTAACGACCATTTTTATAACGTTTTTATGAACTCACAATCTTGTTTATATAGTTGTATGACTTATATGTATATCACTATTACAATTTGTTATTACTATTTACCACGATTTAAGATAATATGGTTTTTACTTTACTGTACGGGGTACCTACCTCCAAAAAAAAATTGTATATGTATGGCGACTGGCGACCGCCAATCGCCATACATGAACATGGACTTCGGTCTTCGGCGCTACTGTCCACAATAGTTAAATCACTGTGAAATTAAAAAAATGCGGGATTTCGGGATAAATAAAATTTTTTCAAGCGATAGTTGTTAGTATCGATAACAATAACAACATTGGTGTTAATGCAGGGGAAAGTTAATGTTGAAAAATTAAATTAATAAAACCCAGTTAAGTTAAAAAGATAGTGTTAACTACCGACTTAAGAACCGAGCTTTGAATAATAGAAATGCTTCATTCATTAGTTTAATGTTCATTATTAAAATTGGTTTATTCTTATCTACGGGCTGTACTATTGTACGGATTACACTTACTACTTATAGTAAAATATTTTAAAAAATGTTAACTGTTTCGAGGAATTTGTTAATTGTATTTAATTTTATTAACAGCTATTATTATAACCATAATAAGTTATATTATACGTATTCAATGCTATGTTATCAAAATCATGCCTCATAGACATAATGTAAAACTATAATAACTAATTTGAATAGTACAAACATGATCGTGGTGACTGGTGCAGGAAAAGGAGCAAAACTGTATCGCTGAACCTTACTGTCATAAGGTTAAAAATAACTGTGTAATTAAAAACGACAGTTTAAGGTGCACAATATGAACAATCCAACAAAGTTATTTTTATATAAAGTATTAAGAATATGCCATAAATAAAGTCAACATTTTTACTTGGGTACACTAGGTTTTATCAAACGTGATAGATAAAAAATAAAATATGCATAATAGTTTAAAATAATATAAAGAAGGTCTATTTAGACAGAAACATTATTTTCAAAAACAAAAATTCTCAGAAAATCACCTAATTATCGACAAATATCTGGTAGTTAACCTTATAGTTAAAATTATGTAAAAATATTATTTACATACACTGTATATAAATGTTATCAATATATATATATATATATATATATATATATATATATATATATATATATATAATATCCATTATAATAGTATTTACTTAATTTCTCTTTAATAAAATATTTTTTAAAAATTACATTATTACACATTCATAAATCCATAAAATAAAACTTTACATAACCAAAATTTATTTGTAATATAATCATATAAATAAAAAAAATAAATCCATAAAAGTAACTAGTACTCTTTCTTTCTGATGGTTCGATATTATACAGGTCTACTTAAAAATTTTTTTATATTATGTATACATTTTTTATAAATTAAATGTCAATCGTACTTATAATTAAGGTAATAATCAATTGATCAAAACTAATATATTAGATTTACAAAGGAGGTGACTTCATAAAATATATATTTTTTTTAATAAAAATAAAATTTGAAAACTACTCAAATATCATAATATATAATCTATAAATTTGCATAATTTTCCAAACGTACAGATAAAATATAAACCACTTGTAAAAAAATGCAAAATTCATACTCTTCAGTTTGTAATAAAATATATAATGACTATAATATTAATCATAATATAGGTTTTTTTTTAAAAAATATACTCTTAGGTAAATTATTTTATTTAATTCTTTTGAAAATTGAGGCTGAAATGGTTAATATAACACGTTTCTTAATAAACATATATATATTCTCCATACTACATTTAAATATATTATACCAAATAAAGATTATTACGTAATTATCGTGAAATGCATTATTTAACCTTATAATGTTTGGAACAAATAAAACTGTTAAGAAAATAATGAAATAATAAATTGCTCATACATTATTTACTCATTATCACATAGAGAAAAATAGTATTTTGTTTATGTATTACAATTTTGCATTACTTCTCATAAAATTTATATTATTTACATATGTAAAATATGTGTACTTTTAAATATGAATATATATATATAAATATAATCACTGTAATAATGTGTACTATAATATATATTATTTTACTGACGTAGAGTATTTTAGTAAATCCCGGTTATATAAAAACTTAATAATTAATTTTAAAAAACCATAATCTACACTGTTTGTTTATAGACATTTATATAGTTATATTTTGTTTACATAATAAAAAAGTTTTATTATAATCTTAACATAAATTTACCTAAACACTAATATCCTACGACTATATTGACGTACAGTTTTTCACAAATAATTATCCAAAAACTAAAAAACAGACAAACACCTCAATTTTTACGAGCTTCGACCCTAGTGTGTATCATATAGGTAACTATAAAGTAATTTATTTCCAATATCAAAAACGGTAATTATTATTTTGTCTTTTTACGACAAATCATTCTAGTTTAAAAAACTGTCATGTTTTTTTCTTGAAAATTTTACATTACACCAAAAAAAAATAAATTTCAATTGAAGCAATTGAAAGAAAACGAAGAACTTAGGAGGCGTGTAAAAGGGGACGTTACTCTAATACAAACAGTATAAATTTATATACTTGCAATGAATATAATATTTAAGTGTATATATGTATGTAAAATATAAATCATATTTATAGTAATAATACAGTGAAAAAATAGGGTAAAAAAGATGTATCTTAAAATGTTGTACTTCTAAAAATAAAAAATAAATGAACGACAATACACATGACTTCCTTACGTAACTATCTAGATATAAAAATTTTACTTGTCAATAATAATGTTAAAAATAATAATTAATAACAAAAGGAACTTAAAAAGAAAATCTCACAACAACAACAACAACATGAATAATAATAATTTCTATAATAAAAATATGTAATAATAATAAAAATAATAATAATAATGATAATAATAATAGTAGCATAAATAATATCTTGCCAATAACATAGATGGGTTTTATATAAATGTTCATAAAATTATTCTTTTCGAAAATATATATTAAAGTTTTTGAATATGATTTTAATAGAAATAACTATATATTTGTTTCTGACTATTATTATTATCATCATCATCACTCAGGGTAATAATCTTGATGCCGATGACTAACCAAAAACAACGACTGTAATTGAGTACCCTAATAAGCTTTACGACACTTTTATGTGTATTGAAGATATGCCCATTAATCGCAGTTACAAATAAAATAAAAGACCAAATAACATGTAATAGTTTGAAAACATGGAATCCAGCAACGTAGACTATTTTAGATGCTAGGTATTATACATTTAGGGTAACAACTTCTCCATTAAAACTGACAACAAGCAAAAAACAAAACCCGAAAGACTAATGCAACTGAATTTTAATAATCTGTTTTTCGTAATTAAATAGGAAGACCAAAATTATAATTACTTCTTAAAATGAGATACAAATGTTATAGTTTAGCATGTTATGGATGTGTAGAGAAAATCATTTTTTTTTAGGTTATACAAGCAGGAAGACAATCGGCTAATAAATATCTAATAACTTTCTCGGAAAATGTTCAATTAGAGAAAGCATTCTATGTAAAACCGCAGTACACACACCAACAATAAACACATTTCAAACGATAACAATATTACAATAACAAAATAATAACTTGATAATTAAAGTTAATGTGAATTGATAGTGTTAAAAAGGTGTTAGGATATAACAAAAAAAGATAAAATAGAACATTATAGTCCAAATCATGTACCTGAGTAAACTGGATTCCATCTAAAAAATAATGAATTTTAAAATAATGATTTTAAAATGTAGTAAAAGAGGAATAAAAAATAATAACAAAGATGTGTTGAAAAAAACAATAATAATCGCATTCACAACAAAATTACATTGGCAAGTAAAACAAAACGACGATTAATAACTTATGATCAATAAATAAATCAACATGTAACGTTTTAGCCTATATTAAAAATTAGTATGTACACCCAGTTTAAGTAAAACAGGTAGTCGATAGTAGTTTGTACATAGTAAAATTGTTAAACTGATCATTCAAATCTTTTCTTAATTTTATACAACTAAAGGTACATCTATTATAAAAATTAAATATACATACGAAAAAATAAATAGTAACAGCCCACCCAAATATAGTTGCTACTTTCTGATAAATTTAAAAATGTAGTGGTTACTCAGAAAGCAATTTTTGTAAAAGAGAAGATTTTTGGTCTGTTGCACTGGCGCTAGTAGTTGAGTTTGTGTTGTTTGTTCTATTACTGTCATCAACTGGAGCCTAATAGAGCAAAACAAAATACATTTTAAGTTAAAAATGTTTATTTTTATAAAACTAGCAAACTTACCCTCGATGCCATTCCTTGTGATTGAGGTGATGATGCACCAAGATCAGAATTCATTCCTGACCACTTAGGACTTTCACTGCCACCTATGTAAAGTAACAATAAAGTTAAAATAATATCATATAAGGCAGTGATTTTAATTAAGTAACCATGCTTACCAGTAGGAGACATGTCAAAATTTAAACTTAATGGATCGAGCTCTGTAGGTGTTATGTTTTGACCAGACAATAACTGACCAGTAAGACGAGCATTACCACCCTGTTGTTGACTTCGAACCCCAACAAATGCTCTTAGTTCGTTTCGAGTAAACTCTGTAACGCTGTTGTTGCCACCTAATTATTATGAAAGTTAGTTATATTAAAACATTTTAATAGGTCAAAAAAAAAATACTATACCTGGAATTTGGACGTTTGTAGGAGTTGAAATGCTAACACTTCTGGGCATCCGAAATTGCAACTGATGCTGCTGCTGTTGTTGTTGTTGTTGTGGTGAACAGTTATTATTGGCTGGCACCACTTCTGTGGTATAACTAACAGGACTTGTTAAAACACGACCCTGTTGTTGTGATTGCTGTTGTGTATTAATGAAGTTTTGCCTGACAGCATTGCTACCATTATTGAAACCAGTAACCTATAATAAGAATATATTGAACAACTCTCAAACTATTGAGCATAAATACTTGCTGTGTGTAATACACACATTAGTAAAAAGGGAAAACATATATTAAACAGTAAAAATGAATTAATACTTGTAGCTGAGCATTAAGCATAGGATTTTGTTGTTGATGTAAGGTCAATCTCTGTTGTTGTGTCCACACACCAGGTTGCGTTTGATTTAAATACACACTTTGAGTTTGTGGTTGCTAATTTTATTTACAAATTAGTGAATTAATTAAGTATATTATATTTCTTTATTAAGTACAATAATTATTTTATTTTTAATTACTTGATTGACACATGGGTTGATAGTGTTTTGGTATTGAGAATGATTTGATGAAGACATTCTCGTTATTGCTTGCTGAGGCACTTGTTGCTGAGACTGTGCTGTTGTTTGGGTTTGTGTTGTCGTTCCGTAACTGCAGACAAAATCATAATAGAATTGTTGATTAGTTTTAATTTTTGATACAGAAGATCAATAAAAAACAAAGTAACACTATAATTTTAAAATATTAAAGAAAACTATTACTCACTTTAACATGGAAAATGATTGTTGTTGTGTAAGATTAGAGTAAGGAGGTTGGCGGTTAGATGAAGGTGAGATCTGAGATGAATTGAGCAACTGACTACCTGATGCAGCATAAACTGGGCTTAATTGAGATTGTGAATCAGGTACATTTGAGGATAACTAAAAAAAATTGAATAATACTATAATTGTATAACCATAACTAACATGACTTTAATTATACGCCATTCAATTGTAATATAATATGTACGTGGGCGCCACCAGAGGGCCATGAGACGATGTAATATTGGTTATACCCTGTTCGCTGAGAGAGGGTTTGCGCATGTAGACTAAAGACTAAGCAGCAAGACTAAGGCTGGCAGACAAGGCGGACTCCGGGGGGATCAATAGTCACACTGGGTGCGACGCAGGGATGCGCAGAACAGCCAATTTTTGTCGGGTCGCGGCATGCTCTCTCGGCTAACAGGGTATAGTGTGTTGTAATATTTGTATTAAATAAACATTTTGAGTTATTAAATTATACAAAAGGATCCGATATCACATGTACAATAAATGTCATACGTGTTCTATAAATTTATTTTGACTTACTTGTAAAGCTACATTAGGAGCGACAGAGTTGTTCAATAAAGAATCAATAGTCTGCAAAGCTGTGGTCGGATCTGGTGTAGATATGGCTGCAGAATTTGAAGATACGACCATTTTTTGTTGTTGCTGTTGTTGAAGAAGTCTCTGCTTTTGTTGTTGTTGTTGCTGTTGCTGTTGCTGGATTAACCTTTGTTTTTGTTGTTGATGCAATAATAGCTGTTGTTGTTGCTAATTATAAACAAATATACTTAATTATCAAACTTAATAAAACAAGACAAACATAACAAACAAGGAAAACCCTGTTTATTATGTTTACATATTCTGCTGCATACATTTTTAGGATATGAGCCCACACCACCCAGTCTAGGTGACTGCTGCTGGTTAAATCGAACACTAGTTTTTTGTTGAGGTTGGTAAGCTGGAGGTGGTATGAATTGATTTTGGGCTTGAACACCGTTTCCGGTAGGTGAACCATAGTTAAGCTGAATAACGAAAGACAATATTAGTTTTTAAAATTGTATAAGGTCAAACAAATTTAGATTATTTTAACTTTTAAATGTACACAATTAGCCTAAATATATTTTTTTAACTAATAAATAAATTATAGGTGTATGTACCTGAGCCGGAGACTTGACTGTGGACTCGACTTGCATCAAACATTTCTGAATTTCGCTGACGGCCATTTTTTCGTTCATTAATGAATTAAACGAACCCTGATTAGCCGTGTTTGATCCAACAGCAGTATTTGCTGCATTGGTTGTTTCTAAAACATTGTACAAATGTAACAATGTTAATTATCTATAATTTGTTATCTTTGTATTTGTTCTTTTATAGTCACTAATACTATATAATTACCTGAGGTCACAACCATGATGTCCATTACTTCTTCAAGAAGTTCCGATAGTTCTGGATCGGAATTAAAAGATTGCAAATTGATGTTGGAATCAGAATTATTAAACTGATTGTAGCTGCCACTAACAGCTGTTGAGGTAACAATCCGCATTTGTGACATTTGCATGTTCGACAATTGCCCTGGACTGTTAAGACTTTGTGGTTGTTGATCCAACATGTGATTTAGGAAAATATTATTAGCGCCTAAAGAAAAAAGTTATAACCATTTATCACTTCAGAAATAATACATTGAAAAATTAAGAAAATTAATAATTTCAATAACATTCTAGTTATTACATACTTTTTGGTGGTAAGCCACGTTGATGAACCTGAAGTTGGTTAAGTGGCATTCGCTGTTGTGGAATAGTCATCGAATGCTGATTGCTATTCCAGCCACCTGCTGTATGAAATGATAAAAAAAGGTTTATTAAACAATAATTAAAATTTAATTATGATTTGTAAAAAACATACCAGCAGGTTGTTGTTGTTGTTGTTGTTGATGTTGCTGTTGTTGTTTAATTATGTTGACTAATTTATCCTGAGGTGTGGCCGATATGACAGATGCTGGTATTGCAGGTATAGCAGTAGGTGGAGGGTCTTTGGCTAACAGCGAAGCAAGCATTTTGTTACGCTCACGCAACTTGCTGTTTGTTGGTACTTGAGGCTGCGAACTAATAGAAGGGTTAGGCATTGATTCCAGTACGGATGGGATCAAACTGCGTTTTAAAGGTGGGCGGTCATTCTCATCATCAGCACTAACGCTGTTACGTTTACGGCTATGACCAAGACTATCTGGCGATGTTGGTGGCAGAATATGAAAATCTTTCAAAATGTGCTCTTCATTCGAGTGTTGCTGTTCATTTTGCTATGATTAAAATAGAATGAAAATTTGTTATTATTTTGTAACAAGGTTATTTATAACAAGTACACTACGAATAAATAAAAAAAATAAGTACACTAATAGCAGATTATTACCTCAAGCATGGCTCCATGCTGCCTAACATTATCATCCTCTTTAAGTAACTGCTGAAGAAGCTCATTTTGTTTTTTGATACCAACACGAGCTTCTAAATCTTCATCTTCACTTTTGTCATTTAATAACTGTAAGTCATAAAATTTAAAATTAATTTAACTATTATTTTTTAAATTATTTTGTTAATATTTTTAAGATAACGAGTGAGGGTAGGGTACAAATTAAATGATGAAAACCTATAGGATACAAATAAAAATTTATTTTTGGAAAAAACGTAAAGTTATGTTCAAATCTATATGAAAAATCAAATACACGCAAAAACCATCAAATTAATTTAGTTTTTTAAAAAGTTTATACGTAAATACATAAAATAAGAAAAAAAAAAAACTTTTAGATAGTGTTAGAAGCTAATTACTAATCAAATATAATTGACAAAATGTTTTGTTAAATCATGAAGATACGAAAAGCATTTGTATTCGTAAAACAACAATCAATTATTGGTTTAATAATAGTGGTTTATGCTTTTACATAAATGTAATTTCTGGGCAAATATTAATCTATGTTATTATGACATAATACAGTTTTAGCATGACTTTTATAATATAGTACATTTTAGATCAAATTTATTTTGAAAAGTATGTCACTTCTAAAAATGTTACTATTTTGGTTCTCACCATACCGATTAAATATTAATATTACAGAATCAGATAGCAAATTATGATCAATTTACATAAAATTTCTATGTAAAACTGTCAAAACTGCAAAAAAGACAATCTCTATAACAATATTAGACAACATGGAGATTTGTATATCATAATAAAACAACAAACCTTAAGTAACATGTTGTTGCTTGAGGAATTATTTAGAGCTGCTGAAGTATCATTCAAATTGGAACTATTATGTGATTGTGGCCTACTATTGGCAGGACTAGGTGGTGTGCTATGATGATTCATAGACTCTTCATCTTGTAAACCCATTTCAGGTTGATTTAGTAGGCCTTTTAGTATGTTGTGTTTACTCTCCTCAAACGAGCCGTCGGCTCGCTTAGTTGTCATGAGTAATGTACGTAACCGGGCTGATTCTGTTTTTTCAGCATTGTTAATAGAATCAAAAGTATCTTTTGGCGATGGAATTAGTGGACTAAAGGGAAAAGAGGTATATGGTGTATGTGCTGTAGGAGTGTGCGGGTTAGATGATATTGTAGCCGGACTAGGCACAGGTGTTGTCTTAGCCAATGTTTCTACTACATTCATAGCTTGTTCAGGCCATTTGTTCTCTTGTAAAATGTCACTGAATGTTGTACTTTGGAATAATGGGAAATCCGAGAAATTGAGATCAGATGTCGGAGTCATGTTAAAAGCATTGGTAGTAGAAAATTTTGTTTCGGACTGCATGTTGGATCCTGAATGATTGGACCCAGGTCCGCTGACCATCAAAGATAGTGAGTCTGTTCCATTTAAAGAAACCACCCCTAATGGGTCTGTCACTGCAGCTACTGCCGCACTAGCAGCGGCGTAAGCAGATGAATGGTTTTCAATCATTGTGCACATCTCACTGTCACTAACATCAACAAATAATTCAACAGGTGATTTAGCAAATATATAAAAAAGTTTACAAAACTAATATGGTCATACATTTTTTATTAAAACTTACCCAATTATTGAAATAATTGCCATTATAAATTCCATTTCATCATCGGTTTTCATAAAATACTTAGATTTTGTCTGTACGTTAATATACTTTTCATCAACCAAATGAAGTTTATAAATTGGACTTGTGCTGGACCCGGCTCGCCGCGTTTCTTTTATGTGGTTTATCACTTTAAGTGAATCATTTTTATGACATTGTTCATGCAACATTCTACCAACTAAATTATCCTGTGTACAAAATAATTAAAAATGGTCAATATACTATTAAGGTGAACATGTAAATAATAAACTATACTTTATTCATATATTGAGCATAAGTATTCGATACGTTTTGGGTATCTAAACTCAGGATTTTTCCATTCTGATCGAGTTTAAATGTAAACTGTTCCAAAGGTGGGCTCAAGTGTTTCTCGTTAAGTGCATGCTGGGCAATACATAATAAACTCTGGCCACCGCCTTCGGTATTTTCTTCGTCATCGAGCATTCCACCATTTATTTTTGTGGACGATATCTAAACGATCAGCATAAGTACTGTTTTAGTATCAATAAGAATAATTTATATCAAGTGATTTCTTACCTGTAAAGTCTTGTATTGACAGACTCTTGTTTGTTTTTCCTCAATTGTTTGGTCTTGGTCAGACTGCGGTTTCACCAACAGGCGGCAATTGAATTTGGTAGTGAACCTCCGATGATTCCAGTTATTACTCTTGGAACCAGAGGGAGGATGGTCCATAGGTGAAGCTGAACTATGGGTTGATCCCGGAGACACGATAGACGATCCGTATAATAACAGTTTATTTAAGAGAACACCGAATCTAGTGTGATCGCCGTGGTGTATAAAATTGTACACGCTCTCGCCAATCAGTTCTTCCTGGTTGTAGTTCAAAAATTGTTCAATGTTATCACTGACAAATTCTATTCGGCCGTCTGCACTAACCACAAGCAAAAAGCCTTCTAACGCCTACCATCAAACAAACAAAAAAAAGCATTATTAAAATACATCATACTACGTAATATCATGACATTTTTTGAGGTGTGTGTAGTAAGTACATACCGATAGTAGAAGAGGAGCAAGTTCTGTGTTGGATATTTTAGATTGTTTTGATGAAGAGACTTCACCCTGTTGCACAGCAGATTCGATGCCAACTAAACTTTCCGAATTTTCTGGTTTAATTCGACGGTTCTGGTATACAAGAATGCATCATAAGTAAGTATAAATAATATTATAATATTATACTACAACAATAATATTATGGACTAAGATTTTGTTTTTCGGATAAGCCGTTTAAAGGCCTGCCAGGTACCTGTTTGACAGTTTCCTGCAAAATTGCGCACTTATCAGGTTTTACAGACAAGGAACTCATGTCCGCAAAACTAGCTGAGATCAACTCGGCCAGCTCTTCAATGTATATGTTCTCCTGTTCTCTACGGCGTTTTTCATTAAGGCACTTGTTACTGTAAAAACAACAAAAAATCGTACATAATTAATAATAATAACTAAGGCTTGGCACTCGTAAAGCTAAAAACCTTAAAGCTCTCGAATAAATGTTTAAAACCGAGAACCCATAAAATCCAAATCAATTTTATGAAGTAAATCTCGATACACCCAGAACACGAATTCCGGTTTTAACGCATAACTCGCATACTAAAAAAATTACATTATCGAGTGACATAAGAATTCATGTTTATATTCCAAGAAGGATTTAGTTTTTCATAATTGGAGATCACTTATGAAGTTACATAAGTGATAATAACTGATTACACGTTGTGCGTTTAAAAACTTAACAATTGTTATTTATTTTATTCTTTTATGGCTTTATCTTACTGAGGAGCTTTGAACTGTGTTAAAAACTAAATAATGTACATTATCTGTTCAGAATTAGTTGCACCAGTACTACAATTTAATCATAAAAATGAATTATATATATTCAAAAACATAAGGCGTAACATTTTAATTAAAATTATAGGTTATTGATTTTACTAAAAAATAAGTAGTTTATTTGATTTGAAGCTAGAAGTTGTTAATTGTATTTTTTGAATAACTACATGTATTAAAAAAATATAATTATTTTTTAATTTTTACTAAATGATTAAATTTTCAAAATATATTAAAATACAGTTTGGTTCAATATAATAGTTTTAAACAAACGTGGTTCGCTAACAAAAGACTTTCTAATTTTTACAACATAACCAACAATATGATTAGAAATCTATCTAGGCATTATATAAGACTTTGTTGCGGCAAACAATTTTTTGTTTATTTAAAAAAATATGACGGGATTGATTAAATTTGAAAAATAACTAATCAACGTAAAGCGAAAACGTCGTAGCACGTACAAACAGAGCTTTATATTTTTCAGCGTTTTGAAAATATTTTAATCTCCTTTGACAATATAACACACGTGAAAACTTGGAATTTTTTTGTGTAAATTTACAAGCGAGAGGATCTAAATGATTTTGACTTAGAAAGTAACGAATTAACACATACTAACACATTTTTCTCTATCTTCGTTCTAAACATTATTACACAATATGCACCATGTTCCACACGTTTAAACGTTTGTATTCGTAGAAATCTTTACTTTTTAGCACTTTGTAGTTTTCTAAACTAAAAATTCCTTTATTAGTAATAATTGCATTTATTGCTCCTTCGGCCTTTGACATTTTTTCATAGACTCATTTAAGATCTACGACGTCATAGATGTTATGTTAAATGGCTTTAAGCTATAATTTAAAACCCCAATGTTTTTTTCATATCGGCAATAATTTAAGTCAAGTATTATTAGCCCGGTGCATACAACGTCCATCCTGAAATAAGGTGTACTTGGTAGGTATTTTTTTATATTAAATTCAGCTAGTAAGATGCGCCAGTTTTCAGAACTATCTCGACTATGACCAATTGAGGTAACTATATATAATTTATGTTAAGCTCTGCGAGCAATAATGAGGTGACAGAAATAGTGGAGAACACATTAGACAGATTTTGTTATTATATTTATCGCTATGAAGCACACAAACGTAAACTCCATATTACATATGACATCGTTTTGAAAATATAGGGGAAAAATAAAAAAATAAATTTAAAAATAGAATTTAAGTGCTAAATTTTTTTTCTTCAAATCATATAATTTTAATATATTAATTTAAAAGCAATTGATTTATCTATCCGATCAATTACACCTGATTTTCAGCGACCTGTTTTTCTTCAACAAACCGAACAATAGACGTTAACAATATTCAGCTATATCTTTTGTTCGAGGCATCCAGAAGAAACCATATGGCTGATTACTCCTTGGAGCGCCAAGTAGAAATCAGTTAATTAACAATATTGTTGTATTATCAAAAGCCGGCACGTGTTTTCCTGGTCCGTCAAAAACACACCCCTGCTAACTTCAGATTATTGTTATACATATATATTAGGTTATAATATATACTTGTTATACATTATATATATATATACATGGAAGCACAATAACGACGCGTTGATAAATTATGTACCTTAATAGGGTAATTAAACATGGCGTTATTAATGCATTTTTAACAATTAACACCTCCGCTTTTCCTCCGGAATCTACCGTCGTGCAGCAAAACAAGCGTTTTGTACCCCAAAGAGGTAGTACGAAATGTTACAGAGCGCTTTTAAGGAACTCTAAAAACGACTGTGGGTGCACTAAAAAGAGAACAGAAGAGAAAATTTAACACTGCGCCAGTCGTGTATATGGTACGGGTTATTTCTTTTGTGTGGCTCGCTCTTTTTGCCCAAACAACAGCTGTAATAATACATGATATGTAATAGCATGGGCCATGAAGAGGGAAAACGTGTCCTTGGAAGCAGGCAGCGAAATGGCATAAACCTGCCGGTTCGCCGGTTACAGCAGTATGCTGCTGTGCCACGCCGTTTGCTTAAAATACAAAAAGTAATAAACTAATAAGATGATAAAATTATAATTGACCAAACATTTTATAAGAAAAATAATAAACTCCTCTCTCATAACAGCATTACGTATGATATAATTTTTTATATTGCCAAATTTACACCAGTACATTTACACAGACGATTGACATTTGTATAGACTAGTTTTATCTGGGTTCATAGAAACGTTAGTAAACAAATAATAAAAACGACACGAAGCGGTAGCACTACACTTTCAATTAAGCCCGGTCAGTGTCCGTTTACGATAAATAACGTAGTCGTTTTTTTATAAACAATTGACGTTCCGTAGGAAAACCTTATGTTTTTACGGTTTGTAGGGAAATGTATTATAATACACACAGTAGTAAGTTATAGCGACTATGGAAAATCCAATTTAACTGTAACAATTGCCGTTTACAATACACATGTTGACGATAGAAAATTATAGAAAGAAAAATCAAAGAACCGCGGCAAAACGATCGGTTAACCGTTTAATTGAGTTCGGTAAGAAACGGAGAAACAATGAAATGAATTGTATAATAACGATGATGGGCTTATTTTTTCCCTCCCAGTAAATTCGTTAAAGAAAATACCGTGCGGCGTCGTTTCGTCACGGAGGAGGTCGATTCCGAATAGGTTTTGTTCCACTACACAGACTGTAACACTACTATCGGCTATCGGTATCTAGGAAAAGTGACAAGTGTATGTATATACTACCATCATCGTTATTTCAGTTCTAGCATAGAAATAATAATAAAAATATAACTAATAAAAGCCCATTGTATTCGAAAAAAGGCAATAATATCATTTATTTTCATCCTTTTATCAACCTTTACGTATAATACACTATTGAGGGGAATGAAGAAGCTATTTATTAAGAGGTAAAAAGATAGTCAACATACGACGTAATTTGATCTAGGAATCATTTCAAATATGTCAACTTACACAAGGGTAAACGAATATTAAGTCCTTTTAGTCACATGATTTTTAAAGTTATATTACCTGAGTTCTTAGCGCAAGTTTGATAACAAATAACTGATTTCTTGATTACTGTTAGCGTATCTATTATACAATATAATTTTTTTTTTAAGAAAACTTACAACTTAGTTACTAGGTACTTAGTTTTATTAGAAAAAACATATACTTGTAAAAATATAAAAGTTTATGTTTTAAGTTTTAACATAACTTAAAAATAAATATCTTCTACCTTATAACAACCATTTTTTTTCAAATCGGTTCGGTAGATATCTTAAAAATGGGCTTTATTAATGGACTTAATTCATCAAAATAGCAGAATATTAGGTAAGATACGTAGAAACATGTAGACCTCATAACTGTATACTGATATAATAATTATTAATTAATAATAACAATATTATTACGTAAATCGAATAGCTCGTAACGGCATCACACAAACGTCAAGTGACGATGTTAATAGATCCTTAGATCTATCAACGATAATTTGACGGGCCTCGGGTGTTAATTTAATTTTCAATTAACGCCAACACGCGGCATAGTGGTTTCCTTCAAAACAAATAAGCCTGAGGGATGCTGGATTTGCCTATAATTTGATATAGTTAATTGGTTTTACATTTAGATTAGATTTTTAAGTGACAGGCGTGCGTATATGCATAATGTTTCCGTTACTGCCCACAATACTCGTATGCGATAGTTAAAATGGAATCAATTACACATTGCTATGTATTATTATCTTCATCAAACCCGTACCTAGATAGTATTTTTTATTATTCTATATAGATTTTTATAAAAACGTTCCAAAACATGGAAAATAAGAAGTTTTAACGATTCAAAAAAATGCTCTATCAGCAACGTATCAGCTAATCTAAATACAGCGGTTGCTGATAGGACTAAATAAAAGGATCCATAACAGGAAACGATTAGTTAGCTCGTGTCTACACTTAGATAAACGGATGAACCTTAAGTATCTCGTATTAGTTTAGACGTTTGGAGTTAGGCGAGCAGTCATACCTTTAAATAACGTAACTGTCAAATAGGTAACAAATAAGAAACAGTTTTATTAATTTGCAAAAATGAAGGATATTAAGTATTCATTACACCACTACACCTGGATCCTAAATCGTTTATTTTAGTAGTCTAGGTAAATGCTTAATTGAACTGACACACACAAGCGGGTGAAGTTAAAAGAGATATGGGTTAATTAAGTTACACAAATTAATAAGGCTTAAGATTAATTAGGTCGCGGTCCGAAGGTGGTAGAATGTCAAATAACTGAGCACTAATGCCCCTGGCACATTGATCTTAGTGTGCCCGTTGTCTTCCTTATCTATTGTCTTACATGCAAATCGATATAAAATGCGGTCACTCCCCTAATGAGGACAGATCTCGGACTTAAGATAAATGAAAAAAAGGTTAAAAGTTGCAAAAATAAAAAGAATATTGAGAATACACAACCAATTTGAAAATAAAGGTTTTAATATAAATGTACCTTTTAAAATAATTGAAAATGTGGTGTCTTTTGTACTTTTTATGCAATTAAATTTGTATGAAAAGTCTGATTTGAACTACGGTCTTAACCCTAGTAACTCTTAAGGAGTAATTGTAAATTATATTTTTATTTAAAGTAATTGACAATTTTCTGTTTTAACTACCTAATTAAACAATAATATTGTTTAATATTTTAGGTTATAATATTGTTGGTATTTTCTAAAAAAAAGTTGCATTCACATTTCTATAATTCGTTTACAAATATCCTATCTACGAGTTACGGATAGAAACAATTGGTATTTTACTACTAATAAATATATAATGGAATATTATTAAATGCGCCTTTTACTTTTAATCAATTTAGAACCCTAATAACTTTGTCTGAAAAATATAATCATATAACTTTATAAAAATAATAAAATTAGATTAAACCATTCCTGGAACTTTTCATTAGCTTGTCAACTTCCCGGAGATTTATTTTTAAATTGTTCGTTTATATACTGAATAAACCACCTGATGATGAAGAAATCCTAATTTAATAAATACTCATTAAATATGTTAATCCTACGGAACTTAAAAATGTACAAATTGTTTTTTTTATACAATTTATCACAATAAGATAACTGGATAGGAAACAATCACGTTTTAGTAAAAAATATTACATCACCGAAAAAGCAGGCAAACATGATCGGTCGATGGTATAACTATACCAAAACCAAATAGTGATAGTAGAGTAATAGTCTATGGAGGTTTACATATAGATAATATTAATGACATAAATGTAAATAATAATAATATAAAATTGCTGTACTTACATTTGGGATTGTGGCTTAGCGTCGCTTTTTTTCTTTTTTTTTGGCAACGCAGAGCTTGGGCTTGCGCCGCCGCTCATCTTAGGCCAAGATTCGTGGAGATCATATGGACCCAGCCTGCAAAAAAATAAACAAATCAAACATTAAGTATTTAAACAATTAATATTTTTATTGATTCGAAAATATAACAACAATAAGTCTTATATTTAAATATTTATCTACACAAATATAGCAATTATTGTTTATTTGATTTTATTTTCCTAAGCGATTATTCCTGCAACGTCATAATAAAAGATTACCTACCATAACAATTAGACTACTATAACAATAATAACCGTGATCTCGTTTGACTGAACTTTTGGAAGTAAAAAATAGGCATCAAATACGAAAGCGGTTGATAAAAATATACATAATATATATAATATGCTAATATTATTCTCGAATCCCGTGTTGAATTTACATAATCACCAGTAGTATTCAGCAAAATATATATAATCGCTTTGACTAGGTTAGATAATCTGAAGGCAAGAAGTTTTTTTAAAATTTTCTTTTTTTATAGTAACAGATAATATTTGTGTCGATGATTATTTAATGTCTTTAATGAGTTATACATACAGGGTCGGATTCAGTGAATGTAAGGCACTCATTTTCTCTTTAAATAATTTAAGTTTTGTAGTTTTTCTTTCTGAAAACATTTTAGTTATGTTATTTTAGAATATAAGAAAATATTAAACTTTTAATTTTTTTGTTAAATTTCTGCTTTATCAACTTTTTTTAGTTAAGAATGATTTGCTGAAAATGATAACTGGTCGATAACCAGCTTTGAATAACTATTTTTTAAGTTACATAAGTTCTAAATTTAGGACGGGAGGTGGATCAAATTGAAATTATTTTACATTTATTATAAGTGTCCAATATAATTTATTAGTTTGATGTTATTAGAGTTCTGACGTGTCGTCGTTGGTTTGCGTTGACAATAATGGGGTCGGGATACGGTCCAAAAGACCGTATCCCGAGCTGTAATACAGCTAATAAGAGCAACAAAAAAATGTTAGGTATAAAAGAATACCTCTTAAGGATATATATCCCTTCAACGGTTGAAATTGCGGCTAGCAATGCCGGTACCGTTACAGTGCAATAAAACCCCTTTTGAATTAGTTGAATGCCATCAAAGAACCGTTTGGGTTTCCGAAAAAAATCAACTCAATATAAAATACACTTAAGGTTGGACAATATGTTTTGTGAGAACTCGACAACAATAATAGAAAAAAAATACGACCTTTTTCAGATAGATGGTCGCATCATTTGATAGAAGAATACATCTTGCACCGTACATATTATATTATATATATAAGTCACAATATTTTATGTGGAGGAAAAAAGTGACCTTGTGTAGTTTATATGTTTAAATGCTTATGAAAATCTCGACTTTTGTTTTTACTCTCTTACAGAATGTTAATTTTTGTCTTATATCTTTACAAGCCGTTCCATGAGTATGACTGTAACCTCTTACTAGTATATCGTTCATGTTGGATCTATATTATTTATATAGACATTTAAATCAAATAAGTTAATTACGGTAAGAGCGAAATTTTCTGCTGCAATAGGAGTTGCTTTTTTAATACCAAATCCAGTGAAACACTAATACTTATAATCAACATCTATTGTTGTCCCCCAACACCCCAGATGTTAATTATAATTTTATACTAACAATTATTATTATGCTTTACTATAATAGCCATTTTGTTTAGATTATTTAAACAATATGTGTATTTATTATTTTTAAAGAAACGGCAACCGTTGTAATGTTATCAACACCGTTTCATTTAAAGTATCATGGAGGCATATTTAAAATTACAATACCTACGCACACAACCAGAGCTCTGTTCAAGCAAATACTGGGACTTGCGTCACAAATATCGACGACAAAATGTGATATAACACGTGGCAAATATCGCACTTATAATATATTAAAATATATGCTCGAATTGAGTATTTATTTTATATTTTTGTAATAACGTTTTAAGTAACAATCGACCGTTGGCGCGTGTACGCATAAGTACAAAAACATTACACTCATTTGTGTTTGTCACCCGATTATTATCCAAGTAGAAGATCCGTTAACAATATAATATTGTTAAATATGATATTTATTATAGTATAGTAAAAACACAAAAACCGAGTTCAATCACTGAAGAATAATTGTTTCATGATTCAGACTACGGACGAATTCATTAAACACCAGTATTAAAGTATTCAATTAAATTGAACACTAAATCAACATTTTAGAGAAACGACAATATTTAATGGATAGTAAGTACATACTTAATAATTTAACTTAAATTACTAAGATCTTTTAATTTTAAAATAGACATTTAAATACATCAAAATAGTGTCTAGCCTAAATTAATTAACGAGGTTTTTGAAAATCTTAACTAGTACATCTAAAAGTGTTAAAAACAATATTTAAAAGCGTGGTAGGTAAAGAAAAAACAATAAAAAAGAAAAAGATCGTTCGATAATAAAAGAATACAGGATAAACTAGGTAAAATTAATACAAAATATTCAGAAAATAAAAGATATGTCTGTTGGATGAAATTGTTTATAAATTAATAATTCAAATGAATTAAAGAAAATGCCACTAATTGAGACTGTTGAACAGCATATGGTAATAGCGTACAGCTCAATAAAACATTTAAAAAAAAGAGGTAAATACCGTCTTGGCATTTACTACTAGAAATGATAACCAATTAATAATTTATTATTATTATTTCCATTATTATATTTTGTTATCGTCGTCAATATCATCATAATAATATATTCACGTTTGAGGTTTTTGCTTTGTTGAACGAGTAGTAATAACACACACACATACTTCGCGACTAAAGTGTATTTGGCTAAAAAAACCATTAAGTCGCCGTTCAATTCAAACCGTATGGAACTACGTAAGCCGCTTACAACACGAAACGTGTACAAGCGAATACAACGATTTCACGTAAAGTTTTTAGGTTTATTTATAAACTCGGCGCATTTATTGTCTGCTGCAGTGTTATTTATTGAACACTACCGCTTCGAACAGGCGGCGGTAATGATCTTCAGCAACAAAAACATGAAGTTTCTTCAGAGAAATGATGTTAATTTTTATTTAAAAATAAAATTATGGTATATTGTTAACTGTCGCGTGTCGTGGGGGTCCACACACGATTTTGTCCACCCACAACGGCGGCCTTGAACTAATTTATAATCCTAACCTAGACTTAATTATTTTATTTTGCCGTGTGTATTATGAGTCGTCGTCGCCTTGTGGGATTTATAGATACCTTATGCTGTATACAAAGTTTCCCTCTTATTTGGATAGGTTCATTATTAATTGTTGTCTGAACATATTAAAGTCTACACACCAAAGTTAACACACGAAAACAGAATAACTTAAATAGAGGGACTGGGGATGTGACCATTCTCATTGTAAAATTTTTAATATACTATTGTTACATAATAGTTGAGCAACTGTGTATACATACGAACAATATTCGATAGCTTGAAACACAGAAAACAATTTTCAAATTATACCAAAAAAAAGAGTCTTAGTTACTGAACTAATAATTACTTATCACAGTAAAGATGTTCAAATTAAGGTTTTCCAAAAAATTGCCTACACCTAACTATTAAATAAATAAGGGTATGACGTCCTCTTGGCGTTTTTATTACGGTAAATGCGTTATGTGTATTTTCTTTTTATTGTAACGCATCATCACTAAACATGGTTAGCGCAAATTTTAATACAATACGCACACATATTAACGTTCTAGTCGAACAAACAGCGGCCACGTTCAACATGTTTTTATGATAGAAGTATACTACTGTTTTAACACCTGACACACCTCAGACACATATTATTGAATTGTACTTTAATTGTTTACCCATATTATTCGCGTACTCCATACAGAGTAACACAAACAGAGCACGACCTTATCTAAGCAAAACGGTCAAAGTCGCGGTAGACCGGTTGAACGATTTTAACAGTGCGTTTTGTTATAATATGTACTATAGTACACATGCTTTAGGTTTCGCACGACAGAGTGAAATCTCTCTGATAAAGCACCGCGGCGGTATTTTTAGTGGACGGTCAGCCAATAAGTGAATATAATTACATATTGATAATGATTAAACCACGTGCGTTGTTTAAACTACCGTCGCTAACAACCGAGTCATCATAAATTAATTATCAAACATTTTAAAATCATTAATCCCTTAAATGATGGATTAAAGGATATGTTCCGTACGTGTTATAAATTCTTATAACAGTTTCGTCATTCGATTACATTGAACGCGTACCAATTACCACAACTCTTCTTAGTTCTTTCAACAGCATAAAATGGTACAATGATTCCCGGCGTTTGTACACAATAATAATATTATATGCGTGCCCACAAGTCGAACGAACATGACCATAATAATAGAACCCATTAACGATTTTTCATACGAGTCGTATACGAGCCAGACTAGTTTTTCAAACGCAAAAAGAAAAAAAGCCTCCCCGTTCATCAACTCTGCGCACGTGGAGTATTCTACTGAAGGTTAAAATTTAAAAAAAATATTAGGTACTTTGACAAATACGGTTTATAGGCTCAATACACGGTCGCTGACGCAAAAAAAAAAAATGTTACCCGTTGCTCGATCGATAAAGCGCTAGGCGGTACACGAAACGTCCGGGCCATTGATAAAGTTTTAAGCTGGTAATTAATAAACTTCCATCGTAAACACATACAATACACGATTGCGATGATAAAACGAGCTATTACGATTGGGACTCGTAGAGTGAGGCCCGATTAGCGCACAACAAAATATATTGTTTTAACGGTTTTATAATAAAATATATTTTAATACTATATTAAATATTATTATTATACTACGAAAAAGCGGTACACACCGAACGGAAACTCACGGCGCAGTTTATTAAAAAAAAAAAAACTTAAACGAGAGGAGGGGACGGTCGCGTGGTGGGTCGTAAAATCGATAGAGCAACTTTGTATGCTTACTTTTGTATGTTTCAATTTCCAGGGTTGTAGGGGAAAACTCGAGACGTAAAACTCTCGTCGATACCGAGGGTTTAAGCA